TCCCAACTAGTTCGGCGTAACGAGCTAGAAAAACTTTTTTCAAGAGGCGGTTATCGGCACAGCGGCAAAGGTAGCCAAAGAAGCGAGCTTTGGCGAGATTGAATTGCGAATCCATTGAGAGCCAACCAAGGTCGCCCCTGAGAGCTTCAAATATGACGTTGCAATTTCCTTTCTTTCCAAAGATGTTGCGGGCAGCTTTATGAAGGTGTGTTTCCATCAATTTTAGTAGAGAAGGGTTGAGTGATACAATTTCGGATCCATAGAGAAGTTGAGGCAGCGCACATGAGATATATAGGCGTGCTATGCCCTATTTGCAAGCCATCTTCGCCGATCCCTGCTTGGATTAGTTCGCCAAGTGTTTTCTGAGCTTTGAGCATGCTTTGGTCGATTGTAAGATTCCATTTGCCATCAGCCTGAAAGATAACTCCAAGGTATTTATAAAATTCTTGCACTTGAATCTGAAGGCCAGAGAGAAAAAACATGCAGTCTGCACGATCGCTCGGCGTTAGGAATTCGTGGCCAAAAACGACTACTTTTGATTTTTTCTGATTTACAATGAAGCGCCATCTGCGAAAAAAGATTGACGTATGATCGTATGATTGAGCATTTCTCGAAGTTGGTTGGGGCTTTCGGCTAGAAGAACGATATCGTCAGCGTAAAAGAGTCCGGGAATGAGGAGGGTAGCAAATCGGACGCCGAGTGCTTTTTCTCTTAATTCATCTAAAAGAGGGGAGATTACTACTGAAAACAAAAGTGGGCTCAACACCGCACCTTGTCGTGTTCCAAGGTCGGTTTTAAAAGCGTCAGTTAGGCCATATGGGGTTATGATAGCGGACTCATTATTCAGGTACAGGGATTGCATTATCCGGAACATTCGGCCAGCTATACCTGCCTCTCGAAGGCGGTGCCATATTGCGTCTCGCCAGGTCGAGGGAAATGCTTGTTTCAAATCGATGAAGCAAGCGCATACCCCTTTTTTGGCAGCACGGAAGGAGTCTAGTAGTTCGCGAAGTATGTATATTTGATCCAAGCAAGATCGTCCGGCACGAAAACCAGCTTGTTCGTCGGGCAAGTGGTCGGTGGCATCGAGCTTGTGTGTGCATCGATTGTAAATGGCACGCTCAAAAACTTTCATTAGATTTGATGTGAGCGAGATTGGCCGGTAAGAATCGACTGCAAGTAAGTCCGCATCGTTGCCCTTGTAAACGAGATGCACCGAGGCTTTTGCCCATATACCTGGGGTGATTTCCGATTGCCAGAATCCGTTAAATAGTGTGAGCATGCTTTTGCATAGAGCGTTCCCACCATGCTTGATGGCTTCATTCGGCATTAGATCGAGTCCCACTGCTTTATTATTTTCCAGATTAGGTAGAATTTGCATCAATTCATTGGTAGTGAATCGATTGGGCGGCCGGCTCCATCGAAAGCACAAGCATTTTTGCGGCCCGCCGTACAGCACGTACGAAACGTCAACTTCTTCCTGAATCGTGGCCGTCCGATTGCAAGTCGCCTCACATTTCCCGAGTTTGCGAGACCGACCGATTATCCAGACACCGCGCAGTCGTGCCCAGCAAATTTCCACCCACCGGTCGACGTTCTCTGCACCTTCAGCTTTTGAACTCAGCTGAGCGCCAGTACGCACCTACGCTGCTCTGCATTCACGGTAAGTACCGCTGACTGATCCAGACTCGAAGGGAGTCTGCCCTGGCAATCTCATCTGCAGCTGCCCGCAAAGACCCAGGGATCCCTCATTAGCACTGTCGTCGATCCAACCGTGATTGCAAGGACGGAACATGTCCCAACACGGCGACAGAAAGCCCACCTTTGCAGTCGCTCGCAAAAGCCATGTGGACCGATTTGCAGCGTCCGTCGAAAGGATACGTTGGACTGTTCGAAACGACTTGAAGTAGCGCACAGCGGCTGTAGCTAAGCTCGTAATCTGCGCTTCAATTGGAGAGAGGGGAAACAGCTAGGTAGTCCCATTTGGACCCTTTCGTGCTTGCATGTCATCAAGCAAAACGAGTTCCGACCAGCTTATGGCTAGCTCTGGCTAGGATTGAATAAAGACGGTATGCTGACCGCAGCAGTGTGCTGCTACCACTGTCCAAAAAGGGCATTTGTTGCATGTCACAAATTTATACACTGACTGGCGTTGTCAAGGCCGCTCGTTCCTCAAAAGGCCTTGAATCCGAATTCAATCCAAATCCACATGATCCACATACCACCGCTCATAATGACCGGGGCATTTGCCATAGATCACGGATCAGTTGATTGATTCAAATTGTCTTGATCATGCTTTGCACGCTCCGGCATCTCAATGAACAGGGTCATTATTTGCACAGACGACGACGTTCGACCTTCTACACAACGGTACCAGGCCGCCGCTCAGTCGATCATGTACGCTGAAGACAAGAAGAAGGCGCTCGCTCTTTATCGTCCCAAGCAGGTATCGGCCGAGCTATTAACAATGCCCCAGTCATTCGAAGCGACAATTCACAGCCTATGCCCTGCAAAGCTTGGCGTCATGTAGCTCAACCGTTAACACATACACCGTTTTGTAACTGAATGCGTGTCACATGATCAGCCGGTTCTTAACGAACACTTTCTCATTCGGAAACGCGGCTCGTGCAAGTTCTTAGACGTAAGTGCAAGACACGTTCAGCATGGGTTCCCCAAGACTGAGTGGTCGGCCTGCGTGGCCCATGCGGACTCGGTCTTCAAGTTTGTAATATGCATGGCACTTTTTACTGCCATGATATTGCCAGAAGGGAGCTCCAGAACTCGCCTTCGTGGGACCTTGTGACAAGAAAAGAAAGTTGCCTCTTTGGATCCCCACTTAAGATTCACTGATAATATCATGCTTCCCTTGAATCCCGCAGAGCCGCGACAATCCCAGTACTCCCCTCGAGGCTGGACACATGATGAACACAAAGCCGGATATCGAAAGCGGGTGGCAGAAGGCTTCCCTCAGCCCGCATCGAGTCTTAGTCAGTGCGGCCGCACTTGCAGCACCAAGGACTGCCCCGCTCTCTCAAACGGCCGAAGCAACAGGACTTCAACAGCCCACAGTCCTCCCCAAACTGGTCGCCATGTGGCGAGGCAAGTCTGATACATTCGGGATACTCTACTTAATTTTTACTGTTTCTATGTCGGTTTGGCACACAACGGTGACAGACATATAACTTTGCCAATCGAAAGATGTTGGGAAGTGCGTCTAGACCCGGGTATTTGAGTGGCACTAAGTAGTAAGGCTGATCATGAATGACGTGGGCAATATGAACTTTCCATTCGTTCCTCTTATTTGTGCACAAAATCCTTCTTGTCTTCACAAGTCCTGCCAATCCAAGAGTCGAATGCCAGCTTGTCAACCCGCCAGCCGGGATTTCGTTAGAGATTTCCTGAGCGAGCAGCGTATTCAGCCTTTTCACCTGTGGGCTTACCGAATCAGGCAGTTTGATTGCATCGAAGGGTCGAAGCTTTTGGAGGCTCTGTTTCGCCCAAATGAGAACCTCTAGCTTCGCCAACGTTTTCCCAAATCAGTGTCAATCTGGGCCCGGGACAACACCCCTTTTAGACGTCCTTCCTCGATTTTGAATCTCTGTGGTACGGTTGTGCAGATTGGACATTTTAGCAGCTTCAGAAGTACGCAGCAAATCTGCACGTCGCGAAACTCGAGCAGGAGGAGCGCTCCCGAAGGGATCCCTCAGCCGATGCGGCAAAGCGCGCACGCGCCCTGCACCTGCAGCTGGCGTTTTGCGCCCAGTACATGGATGAGCGGATCCGGGGGGGTGAACGGGTTAATGATCCAATTGGCTACAGCGGGAGTGCGCATGGGGGGGCTGTGCTGGCGGGCGCAAATGGGGGTGCAGGAAATGGAGCCTCTGAGAACACGACTAAGGAGAAGATGGCACCAACAACCGAAGTTGGCGTGACCGGCTGTGCAGCAAACCCGGTCGGTGTGAACATGCCCGGCAGCCAGTTGGTGGCTACCGCCACCAATGAGAACAAGCCCCCACGCGAAGTCGCCCTCCGTGCAAGCGGGACCGGGCTTAGTGTGAAATGGCCCGGCCAAGGTGAACCTAAGGAGAGACCCACTGCATTTGGAACCGCCCACTTCGGCGGGGGAAGTCAGAAGATGGGCGTGACCGATCAGAATCCGTTCCTCGCGAAGCAGGGAACTGCAGGGACGGCGGTTCCGTTTCTTAACGGGGTCCCGAGCAAGCTCCCTTCGTGCATCAAGCTCGTTTGGGTGAAGAGGATCGAGGGAAAGGAAGTGCGGACGGAAGCACTTCTCCGGGATCCTCAGAAGATCGCGGCATTCTACCGTGAAAGAGTGAAGCGTGCGGCGATGCGAGCTGGGCTCGCCCGCGCTCCTCCAGCGAAAGCGGAACCGGAACGAGGCGCCCGGCAGACCGGAACGCTGCTGAAGCGGAAGTCTGTTCTGGACGGAATGAAGGCTGACACGGAAGCGAAGGTGCGGCTGCTGTCGAGTGGCACGGGCAAGAGGCAACCGATGCTGAGGCTGACGGAGAACTCCCCCCCTGCAAAGAAGCGGAAGGTGCGGCTCGCTCACTGAACCGTTTGCGGAAGGCCACACGGCCGCAAAATTTGCAGGTTCTGCATATATCCCGAGTGTCAGGTCATGAGGTCTTTGGGGTGCGACGCTGGCTCTTGGGGTGAACTTTTGCTTCCTCTTCTGCACATTTGCGACCTTCTTAACTTCAGACCATACCGCAATAACCTTGGGTGCGTCCTCTCCTACGTATGAAATATTCCCGAAAAAAATAGAGGAAATTTAACTTCTTTTGATCCGACCCAGATTCCCCTTGTTTTAAGCATTCCGACGAAGAAGCACAGAAACATAACAGACGCTTGAACAAGCGAAACGAAAAATGTAGACCGATCCAGACCCCAAGTGAGATCTGCGCTACGTTTCTGAGATATGCGACTTTCGAGCAGGCGGATGCCGACTCCAACGTGTGCGCAATCTGCTTGGAGGAGTGGGACGCCGAGCGCCAGCGCATGATCATTCTCGCGGCAAAAGGGACGGCCCACAAGTGCAACCACGCGCTCTACTGCAACCGGTGCCTGGAGGTTTACTTCCGGAAGATGCGCGCGCGTGCGGAGAAAGCCGAGAGCGGGGCGTTTAACTACCGGTGCCCCAGCAACTGTGACCTGGGCGCGAAGAAGCCCAAGCTGGAGGTTGTCCACATGTGACCCACCGGTTGGAGTCGCTGGAGGAGCTTCGAAGCGTATTGTTGTATGATAGAGGGTCTCGTTGGTGGAGGTGTGTTTCTCAGTAGCGGGTTGTAGTGTTAGTAGTGCTAGCTTTTGATTGGCAGTAGGTTGTGCTCGAAGTAATCTTAGTACGTTGATTTTGACAGTCTGCCTACGTCTTGGTATTTTCTAATGGTTAATGTCGGAATGTCGGCTATAAAGACAGTGAATGCTCGGACTATAACGAGAGTCGATAAAGCAGATGAAACGGGACGACGTACTGCCTTAGGCTGCTTAAATACAACGGAACGCACCTAGAGGCAACTGGAAGATGTCGTGGTAAGCTGGAGATTGCCATATCGTAGACCCGCGAAGTATAGGGACTCTGCTCAAATTATTTTGACCATATTGTATGTTCTGATAAGCTCAATGGGGCCAGAAAGACAGAACTTCCAATCTCTACATAACGTACTATCCGAAGACGGTTGCGGGTACCTGGTTATCCGGAAGATTCATTAGGAGCTAAACGTTCGCTTGCACGTTTACAAAGAACCACCGCGTCTGGGCAAACTTGAATGCCAGGCTTGTTTCTTGCAGAGACGTGAGAGATCCATAAGCCTAGTACTCGCAATTCGCCAGCTGCCGAAGTTTTTTATGGTTGCTGCACTAGAAGTGCTGCAGAAGATCAAGCTGCTTCGGTAGATCGGTACAGTACTTGTCCTGCAGTAATTGCACGTCGGAAATGCTTACGTGACCACGCGCGGCTTATGCCGGCCGCCGCTGCTCTTTATCTGGTCCAAACGCTTAATTGCTTCCGTGTCACAGCTGACTGACTACTTACGTGCCCGCCGCAGTTCCGCATGCTATATATACTGTAGCCTGTATATGCAGAAGAAAGCGCGCGGTCTTGCATGATCAACGTTCTCAAGGCTTCCTCTTACCTTTGCAGTTATCACCAGGGCACGAAGCAGAGGGCGCAGTCTAGCTTGACGTTGCGCTCATGTTACGCATTGAACAGACAGGTGTCCGTAGATGTTTGGGAGTCAATTTTCGAAAATCGTCTCAAAAAGATAGCGGCAAAGACAACTGAAAGTTTTTCGGAGATGTCCAGGGATTCGACTGGATTCTGCACATGCCCAACGGGTTTTGTGAAACGCGCGTTATGATTTTCCGTTAATAAATTTCAGTCTTATAGATTTGCTAGACGTTTCTGACCTCTGACATGGCCGGGGCCTGTCAGAGCATGCAGAGACGACAATGATAACAAACGGATGCTCGCACTTGCACGCAGCTAGCGCGGGCAGCTTTCGATCTTGCACACCTCTAGCTCGCTAGCCGCGACTGACTGAATTGAATGATAGATCTCATAGTAGCTAGTACAGTACGATCGTTTCTGAGAACCATCGACGCACATGCCATGCTGAGCTGGCACGGAGCAAAGGCACACAGGCAGCCGGCTAGAGCTACGTTATCCGCTACATTGCTCGAGACCGTCTGCCGCCGCCTTGTTCAACAACGGTTGTTATGATGTGTTGTTCAGACTCACGTTTGCGCTGGCAGGCTATAGGTCCGCGCATGAGAATAGCCCCGGTCCATGCAATTTAGTCCGTTCTGAGTTCATGATCGTCAAGCGGTCTCATGCAGCAATCATGCAAGCAGCAAAAACCCGCCGACGCACCGCGCTTTAACCGTGGAAACAAGTTTGTGATTCGTTTCACTGGACAAGGGCACATGCGCGTTTGACCCTGCTTCAGCGCTGCATGCCAACTCAATGAAACCAAGCAGTCACTGTATTGCTATACCCACTTTCCTTCGTAGGGTAGAACTTCGGAAGGGTCGCATGGTAGCCGTCTGTCTAAGTATAAATTGTACCCCGACTTTCTGCGCAAATTTTTCTGGACCACTACCTCATATCCAACAACCTCTTGTCTGACATAATATTGTACAAGTCTATATTAATACAAGCCGAACGCAAAGCGGCGACAGCCTTTCTGCAGGCCACTCCGTAGCGGCCGGAGTGGCGACCCCAATTGATAACAAAAGGTGGCCGAACTCCCTGTGAATCGTCTATGTAATCTTTCAAGTCTTGAAAAATGTTATTATTGGACAATTTTGCCAGCATATCTAGGTCAAAAAATCCTATAAGTTGGTCAATAAGCCAGTATACGCAGGCAGCTTAGGATTCCAAGCACAGGGGCCACGACCCGAGCGACCGGAGATCCCGGAAGCGGTCAGGGTATATCTTCCTCCGAGAGGCCGACGCGTATCCGCTCCTCCTCGATGAAGTCGAGCGCCTCGCGGGGGGTGGTCAGGGGGTGGCTCGGGCAGCAGTAGGCACGTGACCTGCAAGACAGGACAACAGCGGCAATCACTGGCCAATCATTGGGCGATCATTGGGCTGCGCACTCAATCAGGGCCCTTGACCAAAGCCTGCCGTCCATGAGCGACGCTAGTAGAATGAATTGGACCCTTACTGCCGAAAAGCCAAAGGGAGGACCGTTTAACCAGGTTCGTGTTCGGTTTGACCATGACGAACAGGCCAATCTCTGCCCTCACAAGAGGTTGCGAGCTTGAAAGTTTCCCCTTGTTGTTCGACAAATTGATTGTCTCCTCCTCCCGCCTACACTCTCTGTCCTTTTCCCTCTCTCTATTCTTCTTTCTTCTCCCTTGCTTAATACGTCCTGAACGAAAACTTCAATTATACAGCAACTCTTTGGGATGCAACTCTACTGGGAAAGCCGGCCTTCTTTTCATTGGCCCAATTAAGCGTTACGCCAGCCGCCAAGTCGAAAGGGGAGCAGCTGCGCCTTCATTACGAAATCCGAGTCGAACTTAACGGGGTGAGTCCGAGAAACTTGAATCAGGACACGAGGTCTTTGCTCACATGATCCTGACCCATTTCAGGCCGTACAACGGACCCCCGACCGACATTGGTCGCCGGAAGAGGCCCTGCTTGTGCTGCCCCGGAGCGCTCGCGAAGTAGACGTTGTGCGAGTAGCCTGCACCAGCGGAGGGTTCGGGGAATTTCTGTCAAGTACAGTGTTATTGACTGCCAGGTCAAACGATATTCCTCAAGGAAGGGTAAATGGCGCGAGAGAACCCATGCTCTTTGCATATTGATAGCGCTGGCTAGCACCGGACTTGCGATTTGCGGTCCGAGAAGATCTTACGGAATCTCTTTTGATTGAAACTCCAAGAATTGAACGAGCGGTGTCTATTCTTGCCCCCACTTCCACATGAGAGGCCCAATAATCTGCAATGATTCTCTGCAGGTTGCACTGACGGAGATAGCGACAGGACAAGAGCGCCTCGCCCGTGCCTTCACTCCATGAGGATGAAACCCAAGGCTTGTTCCAGCTATTGTTCCGCCGGTGAAAGAGTTTTAGACTGACAAACAATGTCCATCCTTGCCTCAATCTTTCGACTAGAGCCCAAACTGGTTGTCTACGAAGAATTTCGAAAAGATGAACGCAAAACTAGAGGGACGAGCGAGCTCATGCTTGCGATCCAGAACGCGACCATCACCATCCAGATCGCTCAGAACCAGGCGAACGTCATCCAAGCACATGCGTAATTTCAGTTCCGTGTTTATCCAATGAACCCAGACGAGGAACACATTACCGCAGGTCGAGAGTTTTCGAAGAAAAGCCGGAGCGGCGAGCGATGCCCACACTCCGTTTCTATTTCGCAACCACAGGCCCACGAATTCTACACGATCACTTTTTGCAATGTAGAAAGACGAAGGAGAACTTGAGCGATACGGGATTTTCGGCTCGGTTCTCAGTTCGAATATGCGATAGCTGACGAGAATCTTTTATCTCTTCGCGGAGTAAAGAGGAGAAGAAGAACAAGAACGGAGAAACATCCCTACCCGTGCTTCCATTTTCAGTACAGGACCGCTGACAAATGCAGCGCGCGCGACTCTTCGCAGAAGAGAGGCCGCTGACAAGTGCAGCAACTCTCCGCAATTCCAAAAAGGAGAAAGTGAAACTAAAGCGGCGAGCGACCCCTACCGGTGGTGTAGTGGATGGTCTCCATGAGGAGGCGCACTTTGCGCTCGTCTTTCTGCTCCCACACGCGGCCCTCGAGCGCGCGTCCCAGCGACAGCATGAAGCGCCACACGTCGCTCCGCCCGTGAAAGACGCGCCTGGCAAAAATTACAAGTGTTTGGAGCGCCGGCTGAGAATAACATCTGACCCGTGAAAACCACAATCAAGAGCCTTCTGAGACTTGGATTACAGAAGCTACGGACGAGTCTAGGACGCCCGATAACATTCTGGTCGAAACCGTCAGATTGGTGAGGTTAAAACCGAGTTCGTTCTTTGCACGTGCACGTACAGTTGACTGTATCTGGAACCCCTTCGAAGTGTCTCAGATGTTGATCCTCCCAAGTGAGCACTTTGACGAGCCGTCAGGGAAGACACCCTTCGTAAGGATCCTCGGCACACTTTGCACTCTTCCAAGTCACACTGGTCGAGCCTCCACCGAAAGTCCCTAAAACTGCCCTAGGATGTTGGTTCGAGTTTTTCACAGAAAGATCGTCACACCTAAGGAAAACGCCTCGCCTCCCAGTTGCAATCTCGACCAGGCCAGAGCGGGTGTGAATTCTGTACCAGCTTCGCAATTCCTCAAAAGGAATGAATAGCAAGGCGTATCTTAATCGGAAGCACGACGGGCATAGGAAAGAGAAATGGTGTAACCAGCACGAGAGTCCCGGAGGGAATTTTAGCGATCACTGTATGAAGCTCTCAAATGAAAACGTCACGGATCAGCCGTTCAGGCAGCTGCCCAGAGCCGAGCACGTCCTGTGCGAGATCTGTACGTTCTCGTTTATGAGTTGAAATGAAATCAGCAACGTAGAGAGTAAGCGCTCAGCAGAATTGCCTCTGATCGATCCACTGGGCTTAAGGAAGGCTGGCAAACAGTAAATGCTCTCCCGGACCAGGGTCACCTGTAGAAGTGCTCCGTGCTGTAACACGGAACTTTGGGCTCCTTCACTTGGCTCGCCTTGCGCCACGTCTGGTGATCGATTGCGTCGTTCTTGTTTGTGTACGAGTGGCCGTAGTCAATGAGCTTGAAGTGCAGCCCCCGCAGGTTCAACCTACATCAAAGGTTGCTGGAATCGCTGGAATCTGGAGATCTTGGCTTTTACGTTCATCCAAGTTTGTGCCAAGGACTTTACCAGAAACTCTTGCGGTTCCTCTGGAGTCAGCTTTGCCGATTGTCATCACATAAAGCTCATGAAGATGATGGCGCACTGGAAAGAAATCTGCCTCTTACTCGGCCCGTCTGGCCGAAGTCGACAAGGATCTTCTACAAGCTCTTTGGATGTGCCTCCAGCTCACTTCTTCCCGAGCTCCGTTTCCTTGAACTTGGGAGGAGTATCGTGCACCGGCCCGGCCCGCTCTTCGTCCAGCCAATGCTCCATTACATTGTGCGCATTTGTGTCCCGATGCTGAAAGCCAATCCTGAGGAGGGCTCTGTCGAGGGCGCCCAACACCTGCCCATGGCAGTGGACATAGCTTAAGATGCTGCACAGGGAACTCTCTGTATGCCGGTCAAGTTGAACGATCTCCTCCCCTGTCGGAGCAATGCTTCACTTTTCTCGTTTGAGGTTTCAACGTCTCTCAAAGCAACCAACTTTCACGCCCTTAAAGGGAAGTGGAGTGCTGAGCTGAAGATTAACAGGCTGCCACTCAAAGTTCTGGAGAACTGAGCGAGCTAGGAGCATCACGATGCGCAAATCTGCGCCAGATGGCACAACAAGAATTGACCGAGTCTATTGTGACCCGTTCCAAACTTACCCCCGCTCACCTGCATAACCATCGTCATGATGTAGTCAATGTCGTTGAACCCCGTATCATCCAGCCGATCCTTCACATCCTTCCCATTCAGCTTCTCCAAAACCACTCCCAGAAAGCTGCCGTCAGGCTTGAGCACCTTTGACCCCGTTTGCATGAACCCTTCAAGAAAGCCGTCATCCTCATTCAGCAGGTTCAATTCCCGCCCAATTGCCCACTCCCGTTCGATGCCAATGAGAGCCCCGGATACTCGCGCAACGGCGCGGACGTTGACTTGCTTGAACACCCGCCCTGGGACAACGTATGAGAGCGATCAGTAAGTTTTGCTTACGTCTTAGAGGGAAAAGACTCTTTCGTGTTGGCTCGTGTCCAAGTCAAGTCTGAAGTCTTTGTTCAACCTAGTTCTTGCTTGAGAGTCGCTTGAGGGTGTGACTCGGTAGATGCATATTTCAGATAGTCTACACAATCACAGTCATGGATTATCTGGTAGCTTCAAATTGAGAGATTCAAGCAAGCATTTCTCCGAGACTGCTCATCATGCACCTGATTCCTCTCTCAAGCATTGAGGAAGGTCTACCATTTGCCTGGATCATCGCACATTGAGTGCCATGTGCAACTGCTATCTGGTGCATCCCCAGCTAGTCTGAACAAGCGCAGCTCAAGCCCATCTGCCGGCTTCATATTGGAGAACACAAACATCATGCACCTGATCCCTCTGTCAAGTTGAGCATTCAAGAACTCGTTAAGTCAGCTTCAGCTATCACACATTGAGTGCCCTGGCGCACCTGCATCCTTCCCGTCCTTGTCCTCTAGCAAGTAGACCGTCCCCTGCACCCCTGACCCCAGCTTTTTCCCGAGCACCCACCCATTTGCCAGAATGTTCCCAGTCTTCTCCACAAAATGGTGCAACACTCGAAGCTCGGGCGGATCCGACGCCGTCTTTGGTGTTCGGTAACTTGGCCGCAGAGGGAGGCCTGTTGACGTATCTAGGGGGGTCTCGGTTTCTCCATTTTGCAGGGCGGTAACCTCTGAGTTGTGATTTGGTATTTGTTCAGGCTTGGCATCTTGCTCTGGATTGGAACTCTCTTGAACAAAAGCTCGATCAGTTGCTTCTTGCATTGTGGTGGCGTTATAAGTTGGGGCTGCGGGCAGCTCATTGGTGCGAAACTCACTTTTTGGGGTCTCTGTGTTGACTTCTTCAACAGAAGAAACAAGGACTGGCGCTGTCATGACGTCTTGATAGCAAGAATCTGACGGCTATGCCTTCACACAAGCCCTTGTTTTTCTCCAACCTGGGCTAGCAGTAGCTCAGACAGAAAGGAATTCAAAAGTGGGGCAATGACTGAGAGAGTATAGAGTGCAATCTTATAAACAAAGCTTGGTTGCCCTCCTTGGGCTAGCTTTCTGGTCATTGAGAAAGAAGACCTAGGTGTATAAGCACACAGGAAAGTGCAACTTTGTGAACTTCATTAAGCTGCACATGCTCCGCTTTCCAAGTCGACGAGTGACATCTCTGTGCTGCCTTGAGCTTGAAAGAAGGCGTCAATCTCATGGATGTTCCTTCACTACTGTTGACAGGGCCTTCAAAGTCCATGGCTGCAGCTAGTGGTGCTGCCATGGATAATATCTTTCACCCTGCTTTGAAGCGGATCCGGGTGAAGGACTCGGAAAGAAGAGTTGTCTCGATTTCATGTTGACTAAGGGCCATGTTGACTAAGGGAAGGGCCCGGGGGACGGGTGGGGTTGGTTTGGGGGTTAGGGTGGGTACGGGTGTGGAGCGTGTCATTTCTACGGTTTAGGTTTTTAGTTTTGTTTCTTCCCCGAGCACCGTCCTTAGTCAACATGCGCTTAGTCAACATGAAATCGATAAGTATGGAAAGAAGGTTGCGAACAGGATGAGGACATTGCCACTTGGAGGCTTCTTGTGCCCCCCATGAATATTCTTCCACAGTGAATTTGGCACGTCGGATTAGGTATTGCAACCGCCGATGAGTTTCATCTGAACTTTGAAGGCTTTGCTGCTAAGGGGATCATCTTCCTTCGCTTTCCTCGTCGATCCATGACGACATGAGCCACTTTTAGATTCACCTTGAGCAGGGTCAAGGTCTTGGGTGAACTGCTGGCACCATCATTGCATGCTGATCAACATCCTGATCCGTTCACGAGCTGAAGGGAAATAGGAGGGAAGGAAGCGACACCAATTACCAGGCGTCCAGAGATAAAGTTCTTTGCGCCAAAGGTTAAGGAGTTCAAGAAAGAAGTGCTGAGCGTTGTAGCACCAACCTTACAAATATCCTGTGTTTCATTTCTACGTTGCAAAAGCGTGTGTTTTGGGCCGCCCACGGTTGCGCATGCTGAGATTGTTATAACAGGTGTGTTGAGTTAGAACGCCAGCTAGCCACACTATAGCTAGCTGATTGGGTTGGAAACAGTTCAATTTCCCAAGACACAGGACTGCCGTTGCTGCATGCATGGCGAACGAGGCGTCACTGGAGCCAGTGTCATATGGCCTAGGTGAGCATCGTCTGATGCGATTGATCTGAGTGTCAACGTTGTTGTGTGCAATGATTTGAGGTAGAACACTCGCTTTTCTCTGGCTGTCCTTTGAAAATCCCCAGCGGAAGAAGCGCGAAAACGTGGAAGGTTGATGATGCTTTGGAGAAAGAACTGGGCTTGCAGTCAGTAGGGGTGGCCAACTGTGCAGCCGCCTTTGAGTGATCACGTCAAACAGGAGCAAAACTAAGGACGTTTTCTTGTGAAAAGAAGAGTGACCTTCTAGCGGGCTGCAAAGTTGTCATCTCTCACTCTGATGCTTCGTCTTTCACTTCTGCTGCTCAACAGAGGAAGCAACGACGGGGTCCCAATGTCATACAACATCTTATCTTCTGCATAAGTTTCTTCGCTTTGTAATCTTGCGGAGAGGGTGGCGATATTCGAACAATTTTTGCATTTTGTTGGGAGTTCTGAAAAAAAACTTTAAAAAAACATTTCATGTGTTGGTGCCTGACTGGTCGCAATAGACTCACAAATGAGCACAGCCCATTGACATCTTTTTGGCCCCTAAACGACCATAATCTCCTCCTCCTCCTCCTGATATAAGAATTGCCTTAAGAGCCCACAGGTGGTCCACTTGCATGGATGACCAGAGTATTGTGGTACATTCAAAAGATGGAAGCGGGTTCAAGCATGTAAAGATTCATTTTGCAATTTGCAGTGGATGAGATTGCGTCAAATGTCGTTGCGCTCAACAAACATCCTGAGACGGCCTCTGAACCCCTGAGGAGCAGTGACAGATACAAGGTGCGTTGTATCGACCGTGGAAAGGCTCTCTGACTGAATATGAAGTCCCGATATCCAGAAGCCTCACCACCAGTCTGCTTGCATGATTCTAGTAGCTCCACATTTTCGACCTTTCTCATCAGAGCGACTTTGGTCTGGACGTGCTTCAGCTGCCTTCTGCTATGTCAATCCCCCTGTTTGGAAATATTATTCTTCATGCGCGTTTTGACAGGTTGACTGTTCTTTTCATTGATCTGACGAATCGTCAAACTACTGCCGTACTTCGCTACTGAGGCCAGTGCGCGTTTGAGTTTGTCGGATCCCGTGCACATGTAATGGATATTCTGAGGGTCCGGATTCCCCAATTTATCATCAACCAGGAGGACCGCCTAATGAGCGAGAGATTCTTGGTCAACCATCTCACAGTGTCGATATGGAGACGCAACAGGAGAGTCTAGACAAAACCACCACCTCGAGCCGAATCAAATTCCATTTAGCCCAACATTGGAGATTGTGTTCATCATGAATCTTCTCCTTCTCTTCTCTGTAACCATTGTTTCGTTTCTGAAAGCGGAGCACGTTGTGATTTTCTTCAGCTTACTGGCAAATCTCAACATCTTCACTTGAGCCGTTTTCCACGCCAGCTCTGACCTGTTGACATCGACAATCTTCCAGCAATACTTTGTCGTTCCCTCACAACGAAACGGCAATAGCACTGAATCCACCGTACCAGAGAGTAAACCCCTGCACTCCTTTGACCCGAGATATGGAAGTGCAATTGAGCATTCCCTTAGCTACCTTCCTTAGGATCTATCACCACATGTCGTACAACCAAAGCAATCCTTCGATTTGGCAGATTGTGCATTTTGTGAGACATGGCGAGGGGTACCACAACATCGGGTTTGAGTCGTTGGACGACACGCACCTGACCCCTGCCGGGTGGGAGCAAGGCGCGAAACTGCAGCAACACATCAACAAGCTCAGCAGACCCCTCGACCTGCAGGTAAGTGCCTGCCGACGGCCTTCCTTTTATTGCCATGTTCTTTCTGATAATGCACTCTCGACATCCTGTAAGAAGCAAGATTGAGAAGGGAGGTCCCCAAGAGGAAGAAACTCTCACTGGCAAAGAGCAAGCAAGGGAGAGCCTTGACAAAGAGAGATTCTGCCTTCAAGTGTTGGAGCGCGGTCCGCTAATTCTGACAAGATGTCATGTGTTGGAAGAAAGATTGCATGTATCCGTGCTACTTTCAACGAGCCTCGAAGATCGTTGTGCTCAAATACTATAAAGCAGAATTGGAGGCACTTGTTTGGCTTACATAGCAGAGAAGCACAGCGCTCGCACCAAAAGCATCAACTGAACTAGAAACGGTCTCGTTCTGAAAAGTGTCCCGTAAGAACTGTGACAGCCATTGCAGCCAGCGATCTGCGTCGCCCAGATGCTTCGCAAGCAACGCCTGAATCAGGATTGGGCCCTTTTTCAGTGTGAATCACGATGTGAACCGCCACCTTCAAAAAGGTCTATTCTAATCCCCACATCTTCTCGAGGACCTGCATTGAGAATCCTCTTCACCTCATTGACCGTAAACCTTGCCATGGCTTTGCCACCTTCAAGTGTCAGGATGCCGTCAGGGCAAACGAAGGTCACGGTTTTGAGCCTTTGCTGACAGCAATATTACACTAACTGTTCCGGCTCCACAATTGCAGCCAAGCTTCGGAGAAACGTCACAAAACACGGAGGAGACGTTCAAGGTGGTCTTGAGACGAAGGACAAGCTGCATTGACACTTTCCTGCACAAAGGACGTCATGAACCACGATCTGCTGCCCGGCAAGTGCATCGGTCGATAGAAGTAACAACGCTCTTGAGCCTTTCTTCCTACTGCTGACAGCAAATCTCCTGCCCATCTGCAGGCGGTGTTTGTGTCCCCCATAACCCGCACACTTGAGACCGCGTGCGCCGTGTTCGGCGGCCCTGCTGCAAAAGACGGCGACCCGGTCCTGATGCAAGAGTCGGTACCCGTGTTAGAGCGTTTAGAGCCTAGTCTTTTGAGCCATTGCTCTCAGTGCTGAACGTGACACTGATTCTCGATTCTGCAGGCGGTATTTGTGTCCCCCTTGACCCGTACACTCGAGACCGCGTGCGCCGTGTTTGGCGGCCCCGCCGCAACAGATGGCGACCCTGTCTTGATGCAAGAGTCGGTGCCCATCGATCATGAGCGGACGCACCACCTGGCCATCGCCAAGCGCCCCGGGGTGCCGTTCATCGCACACGAGGGGTGCCGGGAACGGATGAGTGAGTGCTCATTCAAGCAGCGTTCGTCCCTTCTTTTCGTAGGCTGTCGGTTGCTTGGAGTCTGGTTGCTTAGAGTCGGTTGTTGACCGGAGCACTCATTTCGGGGTAGGCTTCCTACTTGGATGCTTTCGACAGTGATCCGGTGAGACTGGAATGATGTAACAAATATGTCATTGCATTGGTGAATGGCATAGTAGCTTTTGCAGAGGGAAGGTTGCATCCGCTTCAAAGGTCGCGGTGCTGGAGCAAGCATCTGCCAAGCTCTGAAAATCTCCGACTTTCTTGGCTTACCTTAGTGGCGACGGTAATCACCTTCTGATTTCCTCCTGCGGTGGAGTTTAGTCAGCTTTGTCGGTCTACTTAGAAGATTGGTTTTGTGTAGATACGGCAGAAGCTCCGATCCGTGCTGATGTGCACTTTCGTGGCGTCCATTCAAGTTGGAGTTGCGTCAGGCTGGACTAGAATGTTTCTTTCCTCAGAACTTGAACCCTTTTATGGCTGGAGTACGGTTTCTTGCGACCTACATTTCTACTCGTGAAGTTCACTTTTATCATTCTCCTGCCCGCGCTGACGTCATTGACTATCCTTTCACCAGGTATGAACCGGTGCGACCGGCGGCGGAACCTCTCCGACACCTCCAAGACCTTTCCGGGCGTCGACTTCTCGCGGGTGACCAGCGATGATGACGTGGCATGGGAGGCCAGCAAGGTCAAAACGCTCGCGGCCAACGAGTTCGGCAGCAAGTATCTGCTGGGAGAAAAGGAGGCGGACGTCGCGAAGAGGGGGCTCGAGTTCATGAACTGGGTCATGGAACGGTGAGGCGAGCCTGGATGATTCTTCTTCTCCTTCTTCCTTGGTGTGTTCTATTTCCCTCCATTTTTGAGTCATTCGACTTGACGGTATTGGTAGAGCGGGGCTGAGAAGTGCGTCTGCTCGACTGACGTGGAGGTGCGTTCACCGGAATCATTCGCCTGTCATGGGGAGTTGTCTCGAGCATTCACAGCTCGCACGCAGACCTGAAACCGCTTTACCGCCCAACAAAAATGAACCTACTCCTGACGGAGCGAACTCAACGGCTTGCCCCGCCTCCCTCGCTCCCAGGCCTGAGCAGTATGTGGCTGTCGTGTCCCACCGTGAGTGGCTCAAGTTCACGCTGCGCGCGCTCACCGAGGGCGCGCCCCCCGAGATGGTGAAGGAGCTGACCCGCGGCTTCCGCAACGCCGAGATGCGCTCCGTCGTCTTAAACGCCCGCGGCCGCCCGGTGGACGTCCTACGGGGGACGCACTTCCCGGGAGGTGAGCCCGGGAGAAAGGGTTTCTATTTATATTTCCCGGTTTTCCTGAAAAGAAGATAGGGCGGAGAGGTGACTCCGGGGGGTCTTTTTTTGGGTACCACAATTTGAGTGCAAGATCTGGGGAAGGGGGGACTGCGAGATGCGCTTCGTAATGTTGAAACCCTGATGGCCGCCCGACGGACGTTCTGCGGGGGACGCACTTCCCGGGAAGTGAGCCCGGGGGGCCCTTTGCCCCTCTGGCTGGAACAATTTTCGCAGCGAGAAGCGCTTCCTCGGAAAATTTCGTTTCCGTCGATCCAAAAAGAGAGGAACTCGCTCTGATGATTGTTTTGGGGTCGGGTTATTCTGAGCGCATGCATAGCGGGGACACAAACTGCGGTGCGCTACGCCCGAATTCAGGGGCCCTTTTTGGCCCGGCGGTTCGCGCGAGAAACTCTTTCAGTAGCACCCTGGTCACAAGGTCTCTGAAAAGCTCAACTGCGCACTTGAAGCTTCTTCGAAAACTCGGTCCCGCGGATGGTCAGCCGGGACAACAATACGTGTCCATCTCTTGTCTGGGGTCTGATCTGCTCGTTTTCAAAACATAGACTGTAAATGTTCCAAAGGTCCGCAGTTGCATTTTCTTCTGGCCTGTTGAACACGGACCTAAAGTTGGTGTACTGGGACCAAAGTTTTTTTAAAGGAACGACAGATTGCACAAAAACGCTGATGGTGAGGTGTCCCGTTTGGTACAGAGTATCCTCGACACTACCTGTTCGCCGTCAACTGGACGAAGCGCGCCATGAACGGGGTTGCCAGCAACGTTGTCAGAAGACTGGGCCGGTCGTGATGATCCGATCGGTTGTTCATCAGCTGACAGATGTTGGGTCATTTACGTTGCACGCGGATTTTGCACGCACTGTGACAATGTAGGTACTGCTCAGAGTCACCTTTTCGGTGCAACTTGCTTGCTTTCCGCTTCTTTCGAGATTCTACTCATGGTTAGCATAGTTAGGTCAGTTTCAGCACGTACGCGTTTTGTGATAAATGTCTAGAGTGTATAAGATTAGAGTGCGATATACGGATCAGAGCGTTGCAAAACCGGTCACACTGTACAGTAACAAGGGTTGTTCAGATAGGATATTGAATTCCTTCAAAGGTGCACAAACGTAAGCACATCGGGCAACGCTTTGTGTCATTAAAAACGAGCTAGAATGTTGCAATACGACCTTGGCAGCATCCACTGAATAACCTTAGCAAACGATCACGGCCCTTTCAGAACTGGATTGCGCAAAATCACGTACAGTCAATGAAGACGAGAACAGCGGTAAGGACGTGTTGATGAATCATCGCCAGCAGAAGGCATGGTTTCGACGAATTTACAAAAATGACTGTCGGCATGGTGTAGCCGGCCCGCTCTTTCCCCGCGGTGGCCCGCTCTTTCTCCCGCGCCAGCCCCTAGCTACTACCGTATCGTTTAGAGGCCACTGAGGTTAAAAGTCGCCGCTATGTACTGCATGCATGTTTAAAAGTTCTAATCTTTCGTGCTTCATTACAAGCCCGGGCCTCAGCCTGCGATTGGTCCGACAAGAAGCCTGTATGTTGCTGCATGATGCGTCGCTAGAACATCAAAGTAACAATAGCCCACGGATCTGTAATATACTTCAACATGCAGCTCAGAGTACGTTGAACTCAAAGAAATTCGGCCGTGGATGGCCATGCATGGATTGCGTGTCGATCCCTTCGCCATCATGTGAATAGTTCCAGTATGCCTAACTTCTTGTATGTCGATCACAGAGAACAGAGCCATGCACACGGGGAAGTCCATCCAGTGTCACTGATCATACCATGTAACACCGAATTGAGACTAGCTTCTTGCCATGATGCAACTTGCTCCCTTCGCGTATTGCCAACTTATATTGACACTCATTCTCGGCTGATTTTAGGCACCACTCAGTACGGCCCGATGGTCCCGGTGCCCAGCGTCCCCGACCCGAGCGGCCCCGGCCCACAGGACGGCGCGCCCCCACACGCTGCGCTGCAAGTGTACTGGGAGCGCGCCGCCGCCTCTTTCGACAGCCATGCGCTGATGTTGGGCCCCGCCGGGGTGTTCACATTAACCTGGTCTAGAGGCAACGTCTCGCTCCTGCAGGAGGTCGGGGGCATCGGGGCGAAGTTCACGAAGAAGCAACGGGGAAAGTTTTGCGCAAAGCTTTCGATGACAGTCTCTGATTCCTCTTCCAAGGCAAGGTGATATGGGGCCTACTGCGAGAAGACGTTTTGGGTGTTTCGCGGGAAAGTTCTGAGCAGAGCTCGGTGTCGAAGGTTTGTTCGGTCAATCGGAGTTAAGGTTCAACATGCTTGATTTCAAACCATGAAAACGAAGCAGAGGCAAGGGGAGCTTCCAAACGACTGAAGGAGAGGAAGGCTTGACTTTCAAGCACTGGATCCGAACTTCACCAACTTTGTTTCGATGTGTTCGACCGTACCTGCAGAGGAGGGGGATGATGGTGGGCCATTGATCGTCCCGCATGATGAGGTACTGCGGCCGCGGCGCGGGGTCGATCGCAATTCTGTAGACGGCTTCTCCCACGTCCCGGGGGTTCAGGCCTTGACTCTTGTAGTACTCGATCACCTGGCCCCCCACCGCGTCAGCCAATTGAGGACAACCTGCGGCAAGCTTTGTCATCAGAAGGGATGGGCTTTAGTCACTCATAAGATCTTTCTGTGCGTGATGGTACAAAATTCTTGTGCGGCTTGACCTTCGGACCGCAAGTTACCTGCTTGCTTGCTGGTTGCCCTGACAGCCGTAGCAGAACGTTGCAGAGCGCACCAGTGAACTTTCTATGTCTGCTACAAGACTTCGGCTTTGTGATGGTGATTTTGAGAAATAGCTGTAAAATTGCAGGGTTTGGGCTTGAATCGACCGTCGAAAGTGCAAAGTACAGTCCTTTAAAAGTCTGAGTGGCGCCAATTGAAGCGGGTCGCCAACTTATAAAATTCGACCGCAGTTTCTCGGCTTCAAGGTCAGCACACGTCAATGGTCGTAGCAAATCCTTCCAGAATCTCTCAGTGGGCTGGACAGAACATGCCGACTCTTTGCGGACTTCGCTTGTGGCCCCTATGACTGATCCGGGTGGAAAGCCCAGTAAAAAAGCCGCACAGATTCATAAAGCGGAGCTACGTCGGACCTTTGGGTGGAACCAAAACCTAGGGCTTCTTCACCCGACATATCATTTCGCGTCGTCGTGGGAGGCGCGATTGCGCGTGCGCGCGCGCTCACCGTAGATGGCGTTGTAGCCGAGGCTGGTGTTGATCGTTCCGGGCATGATGGCGATGACGTCGATGTTACTGGGCGTGCTCCCGGGGGCTGCCCCGGTGGAATCCCAGGTCTCCTGGAGAGCGCGGAGGCCCCACTTGGAAACCGTGTACGGCAGGGAACCGGGGCTGCCGTACAGGGAGGCTATGGAACTGGTCAGGAGAATGCGCGCGTAGCCTGGAAAAATGGTCGGAGGAGTCAAGGGTGAGATGAACCCTTACGGCTTCAAGAGACCGGTAACAAGCGAGCAGGCTATGTTTTATTTGACGGGTGAGATCAGTCAGGAGAGGGTCAGGGGCCCGATAAATGGGGCACAACAGACCAGCCATATATTGAAACACCATTGAAACGATTACTATCGATCAAAAGCAGCTGACAGTTGGCCGTCGCGCTGAGAGCTTGATTACAGGACGAGCCTGCTATGGCTCCGCGCATTTGATTCAATCTGGAACGCTTCGAGGTGCGCAGAGCAGAGCGCCCGACTGAGCAGAAAGCCTTTTTGAAAGATACTTGACGATGTACATTACTTCCTCCAACGGCCTGTCCGCAGTACCCAAGAATCTGTCCAGTGTACTCACCCGTAGTGGGCATCAAGCGAAGTGCCGCCTGAAGGACTCTCACGGGGCCCCAGAAGTTGGTGTCGAACGTGAGCTGAAATTGCCGCAGGTCGCTGTTCACGATGTCCCCGATGAACAGCCGCCCTGTAGGTAGAGGCGCACGAGGAAACGTCAGAATCCAAGGCCATTCAGAAGTTTATTTTGAGGTTGTTCACGATCGTAGGAAAAGAAAGACTAACTCCCGGCTTATATGCATTGGGTAGATTCGTTCCTTCCACAGCCTCTTGACAGATGAAGGCAAAGAATACGGGTGCGCCTGAGGCACTGCGAAGACACCACTGACCTGAAGGCTGCTCTTGAGGCGTAAAGAATGACGGAGCCAAATGCTCGATCGATGCTTAACTCCGAGAAATAGAACATGAGCTGTGCAGACAAAGCACGACTGCAGTAGAATCCATCAACCAGCGGTTCGTACGCATCCTTCATGATCCTCAGTGCTTGTGGAAGCAAACTAAAAAATCTGACGATGCGAGGCCTTCAGACTGGGCCACGTACCCGCGTTCAGATAGAGGAAGTCAATTTCGCCGTAGTTGGCCGCGATGCGGTTTATGAGTTGCTTCACTGAATCATCCGACGTCTGGTCCAGCTGATACAGCTGCCAATTGGGCGGCTGTGGGTACCGCCACGGGTACCGCGAAGTCCCGATCACGATCGCGCCCGCGGCCGCCAGCCGATCCGCGGCCGCGCGGCCGATGCCTGGGGTGTAAAATGAAGCTCTTTTTAGCGGGTGGTAGACGCGGCAGGGGAAGCTCGACAAGCAATCCTTGCCAGAAGTACATTCACATAAGAACATTCAATAGTTTCTTATGTGCGCTTTGGAGAAGGTGCCGGAGATGCGGCTGACGACCTCCTGGGTAATTGGTCGTGACGCTCCGTTACGCCTTGTCAAGGCCGAAGCGCCAGCTCTTTAAGATGCTTGATCAACTTGAAGCAGCCCGGGCCGTACCCGAAACCGATCCTTGCGCTAAGACGCTGCTAACAGGATCGAAGACATCACGAACGTGGACCAGCTCGCGTCTCGCAGGCTGGCTCAAGTAAATGCACCGGTCGAACTAAACACCTTGTCAGACAATACCCTTGCAGAATAACCCCACTTTCTGTGTTCAATGGCTGAACTGGTCCATCAAAATGGTTTTTGAAATGAGCGATTCCCGGTATAAAAGGCTCACCGGTCGATGCTCCTGTGACGAGGGCAATCCTCCCGGCAATGTTCTGCATATTTGCAAGAGTAAGAGATTCAGTTGCCCATCCCGTGCACTGCTCTTGGCAGCAGATAATCCAATTGTAATATGCGGGTCGCATCCATTGCAGTTCAGCCGACGGACGCTTTGCCTGCTTGCTCAAAAGAACTATCCAATTCGCTCAATTCTCATGAGTAGATAATGCAGCGAGTCGTTGTTGCTCACGAATCCAAACATAGCACCACCCAAGCCTTCATATGTGATGCACATGGATGACCTTCCTAGTGCCAAGAGCCTCGACGGTAAAGCAGAAAGAGTCTCCATATTTCATGATTTTGCGAGTTAAACAGTGCCTACCACTAGCTAGGATCAGAAAGGACGCCACAATTGAGCAATCTTCATCTTCTTCAAAGGAACCAAAGTCCTGGTGACGCTCAACGAGTCTTACCAGGCATGGAGGCCCCGAGGGCGGCGACGGCTGTCCGTTTGTCTGGCAGGGCAGTGGCCCGGTGTAGTTGGCAATCGCCCACCGGTTGAAGACGTGGCACCCGGGGGGAACCAAGCTCGCGTCAACGTTAGGCTCGGGCACTGCGTTAGTGTCCGTTTGGACATTTCCGTACGGTCCGTAGTAGGCGTTCGTGTCCATGAAACCGGTCAGATTGTATCCTAATACCGTGTCCGGGGGCTGGTCAGCGCTAACCTGTAGAAACCCGGGGGGAACCCCCGAGCTGCCATTGGAGCTGCCGTTTGAGCCGGGGGGAAAAGGGGGGGGCGCTTGGGCATAAACGGCTGAGAGTGCCGGGGCGAAAATTGAAAACCCTAGGAACAGGTTGGCCAATCCCTGCGCAAAGAGAGATGTCCCTCGCGCCATTCTTCCCAGAACCTCGTAATCATCGATCTTCAGAAGCTGTAATCCAGCACCTTCTGCTCAACAGAGCTAGGAGTCCCACGAAACTCGCACCTTTTGTGCAGACAGAGCTAAGATTCAACGTGCAAGCTCAATCATGCGTAGCCGGTCACTTCCATTCCTGAGCCTCTTCAAAAGAGACAGGAGACCTTTCCCTTGCAAGAAAGCCGGCCAACCAGCTAGAGCCTACCCAAGCCGCTCCTGCCTTTAGCTATTTGATTGGGTATCGTAACCCTCCCTTTCCACTTGGGGGCACCGATGGGACGATGAAAGAACGCAGAACTACCCGAAGGCAAAATGGGAAAAAGAGCGCTTTCCAAGGTTGTGAAGCCGGACACTCTAAACCGAGTACCCAAGCGGCGGCAAGTTCCGTGCAAGCTTCGCAGCCATCTTTTTGCACGTGGGCGCCAGTCTCACCTCGATTCCTTTCAGCTGAAATCAACCATGTCACGCACGACCCTGAAGCGTGGCTGCTCGAATCTTTGAATGTCACCGTTGCAGAAACTAGGAATAAATTGTTCACGGGCCACGTCGAGAAGTTGCGGAAAGCCCCGCGCGCTGGGTTCGACACTGTCATTCACGATGCTTTTCGGTTGCGATATCTGGCGCATGGTCTCACCCAATTCGTCAGGTGGAAATTGCGAAGTCAGAAGTGACTGCCTCGCGGAAAAGTAGCAGAGACGTTGGGAACGGAGACTTGCATGCGCCTCATGCATATGTGCAGACGTTGGCTAGCTTGCTTTCCAGTCGTACGTGATGCGTGCCCTCTCGAGAAGTGGGGGAAGCACACCGCTTTTTTGCTTCACACGTGCCGCGTAAGCAGAAGACATTGGATTCGCGATCAGAGGGCGGCACATGCGCTGCATGGATGATCAAGGTCTTCGGCGCCCTGGTGCTCCCACAGTCCGTCATGCGGAAGATGTGGAGCGGACAGCTGGGTACGTCCGGAGCATCAAACTCAAGAAAAATAATAGTAAGCCAAGATAATAGTAAGGTAACCGCACTAGGACGGGTAGGGTTAGTTTGGTGGTTAGGGTGGGTACAGGTGCGGAGCGGGTGTCCTTTATGGTTAGGGTTTTTAGTGTTAGGCGGAGCTTACTATTATCTTGGCTTACTATTATCTTTCTTGAGTTTTATGTCCGGAGCGATCACCGAGCACCAGGAAGGTACGTAATAACTGTCTTGTCCACACAAGAGTGAATCACCCGTCCGTGAGATTCTTTTGCAAACTTATAAGCTTCCCCGAGTTGCTTATATGCAGATGCTTTCCCTGCTCCCGAGATTCAACAGGATTTGTGGCAGTTCTTCCACAATGGGGGCCGCTTTCTAAGAGCGCTTTCAGAGGGATCAACGAGGTTCCAAACAGGATATCGCTTACAGGTCGTCAACTGGATCCCTTCGATCCTTTTGTGGTTATAGAATCCCCCTCAATTCGTCCCTCCTCGAGTCGTCTGACAAATTCTCCATTTATCTGGTTCCTTGTGGTACAATCAGCGGCAAACCAGTCTACGGCAAAGAGATGCAAACTGAAACAGCTTAGGTCAAAACTGTTCAGGTATCCATGGGGAGGGATAATGCGTTTTTTCCGATTAAATCGACTGGAGCTTTGGATTTCAAATCATCCATCAGCATTGAGCTGTTTTTGACGTCGATGCATTCTGTGTACCCTGGGCTAGGTAGCCTTCGAAGAATTTCATACACAGGTTCCCGCTCCGCCAAGTGAATCTCGAGGAGGTCGAGACGACAAAATCAATGTCACGAAGCAAATCAGGACGTCAAGCTCAGAGTTGTGTCAATGCAAGGAAACAGGAAACTTACAGTTCCCCAGGATTCTTTTCGTCTCCCGGTTTCTGTCCGAAAAACAGCTTCTCGTTTCCTAGACATCGCGGCCGAGGCCATCGCGTCACTGTTCGAGAAGGGCGTCGTCCGCAAGCTGCTGAGCGTGCTCGCGCACATGGCCGCGCGCGCGAGCGATGTTCCGTGCGACGCGCGGCTCATCAACTTCTGCAAGATGCTGGAGGTCTTGGCGAACGTCTTGGCAAACCTCTCGAACAGATTCGATCTGTTTGGTGAAGAGATGAGGGCCGGTCCAGGTGAGAGAGGGCAAGAGGGGTTATCTCACTGGCAAGTAGTACATCGATTGCCTCGTGCTAGGTTGCATCTGAAAATGTTAGGTTGCACTAGACCGCGTCAGAAAAGCGCACGCTAAGGTGCCGGGGTTAGAGGGTCAATCACGGAAGCTGAAAAGGGATACACAGACCAGCACAAAGATTACTGCGGCAGTCCACGTGAACTGGCAGCCAAGGTCGACCATTTTTCTTGAGGGATGATCAAGAGGAAGCCTGCTTGGAAGGAGGGATCCTTGGGCGATCACCGCCGGATTGCTTCGTTAGACAAGATCGTCCAATTGCATGTATCGGATTCCGTGGCGTACAGACACTCAAAGCCCCTTTCTGAAAGCAAGAGCGCACGGCTCTTTAGGATTAACGTAAATCGCAAATATTTGTACTGCAAAGGACCAGGCTTTTGCATTGCAGACTTTGCCATCAGCATGGTTTGGGTCATCACCCACTGGGACTACGAGCTCTCCGCCTCTATCGCAGCTCTCAGCATGGTCGACAGAATGTTGATCAGCGACAGGTGCGTTGGATTTGCCACATTGTGAAAACATCGCAATTCAGGGAAGAAATCTATTTCGCATCCCTACCAATTCCTGCTGAAACGGCAACCCATCCCAACGGAAAGCGACATTCAGTCTCTACAATCGTAGAAATGAAGGTTTTCCACAGTTGAAGGGAGATTTATTCCGGCAAGTTCGTAATAAGAGTCGCTCGATGATGAGTCTACGCTCCAAAATATTATATTTTGAGCTCATCTGATGTTCCTTCAACCGATAAGGTTGCGTAAGGTTGAGTCAAATGCAACGAAGAACTTCAAGCAAAACACTAATCTTCGTGACGTCATTCGGCAGAATCGAGGACAGAGCCGCAGCATCGGATATCGTCCGCCAGGAGGGAGTGCTTGCAGCTGCGACAGACTACGTCATCAACACTCTTGACTCGAACGTGCGACTCGGATTTGATGCGCGAAGAGTGGAGGCGTACAATGTAAGAACATGATGAATCCATTCTTCCTTGCGCGTTCCTGTTCGGCGGATTTTGATCCTAGTCATGTAACGACAAACATTGCTGACTGAAGTACGTGCATCAAAAGTTTGCCAATCTGCATTTAAACTGCCCTAGCGCAAGCAGAAAGATCATAAAAGTACTAGTAGCGTCTGTGTGCAAGACTCTGAATCTGAAGAGTCTTGTCTCGTCTCGTCCTCAAACAGTAACTGAATGCAAAACCCTTTGCTCCTCTTGCTGCAAGAGGAGCACGAGGCTGCAAACCCCAAAACTCTTTGCTACTCTTTACATCTTTACTTGCTTGGAAATGATGGAACTCTTACTATGCTTCATGCCTTTCCTTCTTTTCAGTTGCGACTGGCTCTGCTTGGGCTCTCTTCCTCGCAACTTGCTTACGTGTTGTCCTTGTTCTCCGGTCGGCTTCCGCGAAAGGAGAAGACCATAGTTGATTTAAAGCCTGATTGTGGTCTGACTAGTCTCTTCTTCCTTCGCAGCCCGTGCTGAAGTTCTAGCTCTCCTTCCTTTCGGTCGAAGACCTCCCGCCCGGCGCGCTGTCTCCCGCAGTCGTTTCCACTCTAGTTCGCGTTGCTGCCGGGACCACCATCCAGGCGGACGCCCGAATGAAGGCCGCGGAATTGCTGCGGCGCTTTCTGGGACAGGGGCTGGTGTCGCCCGACCAGACCGGGGTGCAACTGCCGTGCGACGAGTGCTGGGCGGCCAAGTTCTCAGGAGAGCTCAAGCGGTGCTCCCGATGCAAGTAAGCAGTCAAGCCCCGAAACCCGGTACAATAACCCAGTCTCCGGCGCAGTGCAATTTCTTTGGGAAAGCCCAGAGAGCAGCTACGACTTTGCATGGGCACGGGATGCGATTCACCACATTATTTCTGCTCCAACCATAAGGTATCACGCCCTTAGTACAAACACCATGGAGTTGCCAAGCATGTGATGAATGGACAACCGAAGCCGCTCACTTGAATGCGCAGCGCCTACCCTTACACTTTCCAAACGGCTGCTCGATGTTGAGTATAAATCGTCTGCAGAAGTCGGTCTGTTGTCGCGAGCATACGACATCGTTCACTTATCAGGGGGGCCTCGCTCTTTCCTTCTATCAATGTGCAGAGGCGCCCGGTACTGCAGCCCCGAGTGTCAGCGCGCTGGTTGGAAGGAGCACAAGAAGAGCTGTGTGGCTATGCCAACGAGCACATAATCAGAGCAGAGGGCATTGTGCAGCGCTGTTCAGCAGGGACGGATGGGGCGGTCTCACGGAGATGTCATGAGATCATACATCGAGTTTTTAGAACTAGTGCATTGAGCTTAGGACGTGTGTCGAGATGAGTTGCAATTACCAGGTTACAAATATTGCAGAATCAAGGCCTGATGAAATAAAGAGGAGGAGATTGCCTGATTGACGCAACTTTCATCGCCGAAATTCATTCCCGGAAATCGATCGGACCGTCAACTCCATCTCCTGACCTTATTCAACCACACGATGCCAGGGTGGTTCTGTATGTTTCGAAACGTTCTCAACTTCGATCTACCGAGGCATACGATTGATTATGTGTATACATGAAAGAAGTGGGTGCGAGATGCTCAAAATCCGGACGCGGACGCGCGGTGCAGCTGATCGGATGGCCAATTCCAAGTCGGACTCAAGATCTAGAGACACTCTCGTCGGGCTAAAGTCAATAGGCATCACGTTTGAAGCAGCCGCCTCCATCATGCAACATTCACAAATCGCATACGTACGTCCAACTGTTACTACTTGAAATAATTTGCATGATGGTATGGTCCGACATCAATGTATGCGAGCCCATGCACATATGGCACTTGAAGATTTACATATTCGCATAATTCACGCTCATGGGCTGGCATGATCAAAGGCGCATGACGACCGCGGCATCCGGCCACGATGGTGGCGCCGCACATGAATAAAAGAGATCGTACGTACGTCAATCGACTAGCTGCCACTGTCCCGGGGCCCGCGGGGCCCCGCAGCGTGGCCGGCGGCCTTTCGATCCCACACTTAGACTTTAGCAGTATACGGACGTGCCATTTTTTGCGCTGTGCACATGCCGTGATGAGGTCGGAGGTATACGCATGTCAAATCAATAGGCCGATATTAGAGTGCAGTCTATGAAAGTACACAGGCTACGAGACTACAAGACTTAGTAAATCTATAAGTATACATGTAGTATGCTTGTAGTTCAGACTCTAGCATACATGTATGCTAGAGTCTAAAAGACACCCGGCCCATCTTCTCAGTAACCGTCACCATAGAACAGGCATGCTGCCAGCGTCCGGACGTGCAGCTCTGGCATACACGCACAACCGGTCCTTGTATCCAGGCCGGGCACAGTTCCAAGAATGATTTTTAGGGCGCTTTCAGACGCCGGCAACACTTGTAGCCTTGTACGAAGCATGACTTTCCTATGGCTGTGGGGATGAAATGTCGAAAGCGAGGACACAAGGCACAGAGCGGTCGATCACCCAATAGCTACTTGAGTGACCTTACGAATCAACGACAAGTGTACAGATCTTAACGACAAGTGTACGAAGATGACAGAAGTCCAGCTTTCTATTGCCATGGCGATTTCCATCACCATTGCGCAGCAACCTTTCATGTACAGCCTAAACCTAGCAACGCAATCCTGCACGCTCAGGAAGCTGCTTCCGTCTCTGAATCGAACCCGATATTCCAAAAGCCAGAGGGAGTTGCCGGGGGCGCGTACTGATACCTATGGCGGCCTGCGACATCCAAATGCTCCTGGCACCGACTATTCACGTGCCGCTCCATTGCCTCCGCGTCCAAGGCCTCCACGGCTTCGTAGAACTTCCGACAATTTTCGCAATCCATTGCATGCAGCTGCTCCCGTTCGTCCTTCTTCCGTACCACGCTGTTGTACTTGTACACAGGAGCCTCGCCCGCCGCCAACTGCCGCCCCCGTTCCGCGGCAGTGTGCTGATAGGTGCCCGGTTTGATCACCTGGATGCCCCGGTTTCTTGGACGGTCTCCTCGCAAATCATCACCATCTCTTGGGACTCTGTCCCCGGTGCGCAGATCAGCCCCCCCCGGTCTTGCTCCATCCGGATGCGCTAGACCCGCCTCATTCGTCACCTCGGCATCCGCATCAGGCTGGCTGTTCTCTTTCTCGCTGTCGCTCACTCGGTCTGTATCCTCCGGAGCGGCCCTCGTTCTCTCCTCAACCTTGGCCCTGCGCTCCCCCGACCCCGTCCCCAGGTCACGTGCCATACTGTTCCGGCCAGTCGGCGCAGCCTTCCTCGGTTCGTCACTTGCCGTCTGCCCCGTCTGTCTGCCCGGGGGATCGACCCGGGCACTTCCTCCAACCGGCCCCCCTTCCCCGCTTCTTCCTGCGAGCGCCTTTTCCATCGGCGTGCTCAGGAAGTCGTCCTCCACCCCCCGGCTCGCCTCCCGCCACTTCCGCCCGGGCCCCTCTCCCGCTCCCGTTGCCGCTGACGTCGGCGCCTTGAAGAACGGGGCGTCTTTGCGGGGGGGCTGTGAGAGCCTGGTCTGTACCATACGAATCGGGCCTTCTTTCCTCCCCACCTGCTCAGCTCTTCCCGCTGGCACCGGAACCCAGTGTGCCCTTCCTCTCTGGGGCACCTCCCGTACCGAGACCCACCGTCCCTTTTCTCCCGGAGGCAGCCCCTCGGCTCTCGCCACAGGTACAGCTCGAGTCTCGACATTCGATGCACGGTTCCCGAACTCAACGGCCTCCTCCAATTCCAGCGAATCCTTTGCCCTGAGGGGCACGTTCTTCCCTCCGTCTAGCTCGGAGCTCGTTCCGAGATTTCGCACTGTGCAGAAAGAATCGCCACTCTTCCCCCGCTGCACGTCCCGGCCCAGATCCGACGGCCCCACAATCCCCGCAGACCGGGCCCGCCGCCGCCGCTTCGGGCTCGACACCTCTGCCTCATCGGTGTCAGAGTCCGGGGCTCTGTCCCGCACTGCACCCTCAGACACCACCTGTGGTTCAGCCGTTCGATCGTCACGCAAGGCCGTACGACCATCCCCCTGTCCCCGGCCCGTCCTGGGGCTGCCGCCCTCGCTGCTCGTCAACCTCTCTTTACTCGCGCCGCTCCTCTCATTCTCGTCCCGAGCTCCTAAAACCCGGGGGTCCGCGCTAACCGACGGGGTAACCTCTAACCCGTCCCTGCCCCCGGATCGCTCTGCACCCAGTGCCTGCCGGATCTGTCGGTTCAGCGTGGACACAAGCTGCGAGCGGTCCCTCTTCACCGAGCCCCCTCCGCTCGCAGACCTCGTTCGCTCCCCCCCACTTCCTGCCTGACTGGCCCATGCTTCGGTTGCGTCTTTGCCACTGAACCCCCTTGTCAAGTGTCCTGCCGACCTGACAGGACCCGCATCCAGCCTCTCTTCTCTTCCTGCGAGATTTTGCCGTACGTCCATGCCGTTATTTGTTCCCGATTGCGGAGTCGGATCAGCCCCGTCCTCCCAGGCCGCTTCTCTTTCTTCAAGCGTAAGCTCGCCCCCCGTCCCGCGCACCAAAAGCAATGTTTCCATCGACGAGATAGGGCAGTCGGCACCCATGCCCTGCTGTGGGGACACAGGAGGTGGCGCCTCGGCATTCCCGCCAACGTGCTTCCTCCTCTTGTGACTCAAAGAAGCCTTGCCGTCTCCTTCACCGGACCCCTCTCCCGACCCCCCACCGTCCGCCGGCATACCTCCACAAGCCCCCGCCAACACTTCTGGAAGGTCAGTGCGTGGTCGCTTCTCCCCGCTCCCTGGCTGGTTCATCTCATCCGCCGTCGTCAACCGGAATCCTACCCCGCCTTCTAACCCGGCCCCAAGTTTCGCCTCTTCTCCCCTGCCTTGCAGATCGCGAGAGTCGCTCCGAATGGCTCCTAACCCCTCCATTGGCGCTTGAGCCGCCTGCATCGGTCCCACCTCCGGCCGGCCCCCTACCGCATCTCCCGTTTGCCTAACGAGTCCCCCGGACGGCTGACCCTCCGATGATGCAAACAGCGGCAAACCCACCTTTGCGGCCGCCTGTTTGGGAGCGGCAGTCGGAGGTTTGCCACCCCCGACAGAGCCCTGAGTGGCGAAACAGTGACCCCCATCAGCCTGGGGAGAGACTCGTTCCAACGAGGCCCGCAGCTCCTTTCCAAGAAAGGTCGGACTCTTTGAGGCCCTGCTGATCTGGCTGGCATTGACGCCCGCCTGAAGCAGCGACGCATTGTTGCGGTGCAGGGCCTGCACCTCCCGCTTTGCTCTGCTGTATCTGCGGGACAGAGCGGCCTTCTCTTCCTTCTCGGCATCCAAAGCTGCGGTCAGCCGCTGGCGCTCCTCTTGCTGTCTCCGCTCCAGGTTGAGCAGCTTCTCTGCAGATCGCTGCTGGTCCTCTTCCCTGCAGCGGGAGGGATGCAGGAGTCAATTAGAAGGTGACCGCAGGACGAAGGCAAGACGTGGGAAAGCACTCTTCTTAAGTCAGTGACGCAGGTTTTACGAGTCGCATCGTTCTCGAAACTTAATCCTTTTGACTACTGCCAAACTGACGGACTGACATTCAAGAAATGTGAAGTACGTCACAAGAAGGATGCCTGCCTGCTGATATAGTGAGATCTTGTGGAAGGCTTATATATCCAGGGTTGCACTTCAGCCAAAGTCTTAAAGATGATGTAGCCTGGCGGCCCTGGATGCAAATGGCAATAAAATTGAACCAGCAGCTGATGTGTCCCGAGGAAGAAGTGTCAGAATGAATGCATGGCGGGATTCACTGGCTTCATCCACTGCGCGACAGAAAACCAAGGGGAACCGCAAGTAAACCGGAACAAATTGCAGATGATCACCTGCTTGCCCTGAGTTCCACAAGCTGCCTCCACAGCTTTTCCTTCTCCTCCAGCTGGTCATCCCGCTCCTGCACAAGCCGCTGCCGAGCGAGCTTTGACTCCACCAGAAGGGCCTCTTTCTCCACCAGGAAGTTTTGCTGTGCGCGCTCCATTTCTGCCTTTGAGTCTCGGCGCTGTGCTTCTAGCTGTTGCACAGCTCCTGAATGTCGTGCCACCTGCCAAGAGAGGAGCGGGCGTAAGAATTGACTGCATCTTGGCAAGGTTTTTGAGTTCAGGAAGACAGTAGTGCATTTTGAAGTGCATGCTTTACTGTATATTTTTGAAAGACGACTGTTTACAGTGAAGTCGTGACTGGTTTTTCATAACCAATTTGTTTGCAGTACTGAGCTCTCAACGTTGACAGATGCATTGTAACAACAAGATGACCATTGCGACATGAGGCGTAAGAAGCCTCAAATTGCACAAAAGCCATCAGATTCGCAGCAAGAACACAAGAAGGACTTCTTGAAGTTAGCTCTCACAACCTGGTACAAAACCCCGCATCAGAAGAGCACCAGAAAGTCAAGATATATCACTCTTACATGATACTTTAATATTTATAAGCGGTGAAGGAGCAGCTGGCAGGTTACTTCCAGGAAGGTAGGCACAAGCGCTCACCAGCATTCTGAATGCCGGCAGAACTCTTCCAGCCAGACTCTGCTCTGCCTGGTCCACCTTTGCTCTCACAAGCCCCAGCTCTGAGATGAGGGCAGAGCATTGCTCTTCCACTATCTCGATGTCATCTAGCTGCGTCTCCATCAACAAGCTGTTAGGCAGGGAGTCCTTCTCACCGTCCATTGTACTCAGGACCAACTTATCATAGATGCACGTGATAAGTCTATTCAAGACTTTGCACTGCTGTTGTGACGGCGACCTCCTTATGGGGCCGGTTGGAACGCACCTGGAAGCAGCACGTCCTACATCCGAAAAGCAGCCTCTCTTACAAGCTTAGGGCAGCGCAAACTGGTTGAACACCGCCAACATACGCTGGTTGATTGCCAGACATTCTACGAGAAACAGATCGTTGCTGCATAGCTGCGAAGCCAATGCAAATTGCGGGCTGCTGCCACCATGTCCTTCCTGTTTTGAGTTCAACTTCATGTGCTTCTCCTCCTCCATCAAGTCTGACTGCAGGACCTGAGGCTGAACACTCACGGGACAAAATCCCAAAACATTTGAAATTGGCCCTCAAAATTATCGGTGTCGAACCTCTGCTGCAGAAAAGGAAAGTCAGTTTCTTTCGCCGTCGAGACTGAGAAGTTCCGTGGTCGCTGCAACAGGTCCAGCATGTGATGGACTTGATCGTCGTCAAAACATACCAAGTTGATACCGAGTCTGCATCAACTTCCAACTGTTACATATATCCTTCGGTTGAATCTGTATTCCAGTCCGGCGCCGGCATGCATGGTGGCTCTGTAGCCTTAGGCAACCCCCTGCCAGGGGGTGTGGCGTTTTCCCAGCTTTTATTAAGAGAGGGAGTCCTTCCCTGGAGGCAACAATTTTGGTAGCTTCACTTGTGACCGTGTAGTCGGGCTTTCAGGGACACATCGACCGGCATCATGGACGAGGATCAGCAAGCAGAGCGGTTCGACATGGAGAATGACTACGAGGGCGGGCAGTGGATCGGTGGCGAGTTTTACTATTCCAAAAAGGTGGAGAAACGGAAACAAACAAAAGATGATGTCCTTTACGGCGTCTTTCAGGAGTCTGACTCTGACTCTGGTGGGGGCCGGAAGCGGCGGCGGAGAGACAGGGGCCCAATTGAGAAGGGCGATTTTGCAAAGCCTGTGAGCTTTGTGTCTAGCGGCAAGGTGGTTGGCAGCGCCTTGGATGATGAGAAAGAAGGAAAAGCGGGGGGTGGCATTGAGCTTGGATCAGAGCAGAACGGAAGCAGAGCGGGCTTAGGGTCAGCGCCGGGTGGTTCCGGGTTAGGGTTTCAGAGTGGGGGTTTGGGATTTCAAAGCGCGGGGCTGGGCGCTAGCAACGGAGGTTTGGGTTTCCAGACAGGCGGTTTGGGTTCTAGCAACGGTGGTTTGGGTTTTCAGTCAGCGGGACCGAGTGGAGCGGAAACTAGGGCGGATGATGACGAGGACGATCTGCTCCCGGGCATGTTCGGAAAAAGGATCCAGGAAGCGGCGGAGAAGCGGAAGGAGCGGGAGAGGGAAGAGGCACAGAAGAGCAGGTTTAAAGGGAAGAAAGGGGGGGTGCCTGCCGCCGCTGCCGCTGCGGGGATTGCGAGTTTTGAAAAGCACACCAAGGGGATTGGGATGAAGCTTATGCAGGGCATGGGGTATGTCCCCGGGCAGGGGCTGGGGGCAAAGGGCCAGGGGATCGCTGCCCCGGTGGAAGCGAAGTTGCGCCCGGGGAAGAACATGGGGATGGGGTACAATGATTACGAGGAGAAGAAAACGGCACTCCCACCACCACCTGGGAAAGAAGGGGAGAAAGTGGAGGTAAGCGAGAGGTGCAGAGAAGTAAAAGGTGTATTGTCGAGTAACAGGGCCTCTCGAGTTTGTTCGATTGCCTGGCTGCACTGTACCTACTGCTGTGCCGGAGAATGGTGGTGAGCTGTGCTCTTTATCGGACCAAGTGCAAACCTAGAGGCGATTTGCCTGTAGTGCGGTTTCAATGGTCGGTGAACGAAAGGCTGGTGTAATCCGGTTATGACTTGGACAAGACTGTGTTTAAGAGAGGAGTCTGGTTGTTTTGCAATATGAAAGACACCTTTGATCTCTCTATCTTGTTGTGGACGCTTAGACCTTCGCTTACAGATCTCTATCAAAGAATTTATCGCGTCAGTTGCTCATCTTCGCCCGTCTGCTGATTGCAGGCGGCGGCTGAGCCCGCCAAGCAAGAAAAGCTCTGGAAGGCACGCAACGCCGACAAGCGCAAGAAGAAAGTGTACAAAACCGCGGGCGCACTCATCGAGGAGCTCCAGCACGCGGGCGCCGCACCCGCCGAACCTACCAAGATCCTCGACATGCGCGGGCCGCAAGTGCGCGTGTTGACGAACTTAGAAGCGATCAACGCGGAGCAAGCCGCCGTAGAAGAAGACACACCGATGCCGGAGTTGCAGCACAATCTGAGACTCATGGTCGACTTGGCCGAAGCGGAGATTCAGCAGTTTGATCGGAAGCTGCGGCACGAGAGGGATACGATGGCCGTGCTTGCGGGGGAGCAGGAGCGGTTGTTACGGGAAGTGGATCATTACAGGGGACAGGTGGAGGGGCTCGAGGGCGTGCTAACAGCGGTTGAGAAGGTCCAGGAGCGGGCGAGCGAGGGGCTCATGACGCTGCAGGGACTGTCGGACGTGTTTGACTTGCTCCAGCGAAAGTGAGCTTCTCTCCACGTCCTCTCAAAATTAAGTCCGTGCTGATTGACGTAGTAAACGCTGCTGGTAGTGACAGACTGGTCTAGTTGTCTGTTTCCTTTGTGGACACTAGGATCAGCTTCTCAATCGTACATGTTGGAGGGAGAGCATCGAAATCTTGCGTATGTTTGTTGCCTGGGGTTTGTTTTGTCGTGTATATACATGGTGGTTGTTCAGCTTTTCCCGAGACCTATTCGGGATCACAGACAAAGTCGCTCTTGCAACAGCGATCTGAAGGGTGATTGCTTTTGTTAGTGGTTTGCGATTGCATACTGGAGACTCCAGCCAATCTATTGAGCTTCGCAGCCCCTTCGCTTGCTTTGCCTACTTCAACGGCCTTCTCCTCTGTCAGACATACTCTCAACATGTGTCTTGTTTGAACCGGACTACCTTTTTATTGACTGGAGAATTACGCTCTACCTCTTCGAGTGAGAGAGAGGCCAACCTTCCTTTCCCCCTCCCGTCTGTCTTACAGATGGTTTCTCTTCCTTTTCAACATTGTTCTTTCACCCCCAGCACTCTTGCAGCATTACAGACTTCCGTATGTTTAATTTGACCTCGCTTTCACGGTTTTAACAGGTGTACACGTTCTTCGAACTTGATTGACCCGTCCCAATGACATACAAGTTTTAAAATCGGCTAGCCATTCATGTTCTCGCGGCCTGATCTGTTCCGACTGTTCTCGGACCCCCACCTCACTCGAGTAGCCTTCGTCTTCGCCCACGCTCAATCTGGACCCCCTTTTCTATTTCGCAGGCACCACGAAGAGTATAAGCTGTTCAACCTGGCTGCCGTCGCGCTTAGTCACGTCCTGCCTTTGATGCAAGCGCACTTTCGCGGCTGGAACCCCTTCCAGAACCCGACACATGGCACCGCTGAGATGGCCACGTGGAAGAAGCTGCTCGCGCAGGAGGAGGGGCCACGTGACTACTCCATCTTTACGGACCTCGACTCGGACATCGATCCGTACACCAGGTAAGGCGTCCGAGCGCGCTCAATGGTGTTCAAATTACTCGTGTCAAATCAAACTGTTCAAAGAGCCGGGGCAGCTGAAGCAATCATTCTTCCTGCATGATCGTCTCTAACGTCTGTACTGGGCCACATCAAGAGCTCAATCAGTCGTTGCGCACTACTCACTTCTTCTTGGGGTGTTGTGGTCATCAATCGAAGTTCACAAATTCTTCCCTCCAGAATGGGCAAGGCAATCCAAGACAAAAGGAGCCATGTCTTGGTTTTTTTTGGTCTTTTCCTTCCTTTGTTGTTTCGATGTTCGTCACGATCCGAGAGTTTACCGGTCTCCCTCAGCCCTGACACCTGCATGTGTTCCTTCAATGGCAACCCGACCCCTGTTCAAGCAGATTAATGTCGGCCTTCTCTGCCCTGTAGTGTTACGTCCTGATTGACACCGTTTCCTTGTTTGCTGTTGGCTTCATCTGTGGGTCCAACAGACAAGGAGCATACTTATGTCTGCTATGAGACGACAACAATACCCCAACATACTGCATACCTTCACAAGTGCAGGAGACATGCACTCCTTATGTCATCGTTTCACTGACGCCAATCCGCTTCCTCCCCCTCTCATGCAGGCTGGTACGGGACGTTATTCTCCCCCCCCTCCGCAGCCTCGTCCTCGCCGCCTGGGAACCCCGCGACCCGGAACCGTTCCTCCGTTTCCTGGAAGCTTGGGACTCTCTTCTCCCGCCCGCAGTCAAGGAGAACATTTACGACCAGCTGGTGATGCCCAAGCTGACGTCAGCGGTGGACACGTGGGACCCGCGCCTCGAGACGGTGCCGATCCACGCGTGGCTGCATCCGTGGTTGCCGCTGCTCGCGGCGCGCATGGAGCCGCTGTACCCGCCCATCAGGTGAGCGCGCAATCTTCGCTGTCTTGCTTCACCAAGTCTTACGACTTTCTGCGTTCTAGATTTTGACAGGGTCGGCTCGCATATCCGTTGACTTTTTGGCTTTGACTGCGTCTCCCACCGTATTATCTGTCCTCCTTTTCGTTCACCTATCGACCACGACCTACCCAGAGACCCAGACACCTCAATTCGCAACTCTTTCCCGCTTCCACATCCTGCTTTTCCGCATCGAGTCGTCGTCTGCTTCCTTCATATTCTTATATGAGTCGCGACCTCGGATGTGTTGTTCCCTGTAAAGGATACCATACTCGGCCATACTCGGACACGTCCAACACTTCCACTTCGCGATCTGTCTAGAGTTGGCCGAAGAGGCCGACATTAGGACGCAGGATTGTTGCGAGCATCGCATTGGCACCCTGTCAGCGTCTCAGGTTTCCTGCTCTTCTCCTGCCAACCTAACAAACCATCGTGACTAAGGGGCGAGGGTGCCTCTGTCGCTGAAAGAACCTGAATGACGGATTCTACCCACATCCATATGCTGACGCTCCGTTCCCTCTCCCCGCAGGTTCAAGCTCGGCGCGGCGCTCCAGGCGTGGGACCCGAGCGACTCGTCCGCGTACGCGCTGCTCCACCCGTGGCAGACCGTCTTCGACGCCGCGTCCTGGGAGCAGCTTCTGGTCCGTTCGATCGTCCCCAAGCTCATCGTGGCGCTCCATACGCTCGTCATCAACCCGCACGCGCAGCAGCTGGAGCCGTTCCAGTGGTTCATCCAGTGGGCGGGGGCAGTCCCCGTGCACCACATGGTCGCGCTGCTCGACGCGCACTTCTTTCCCAAGTGGCAGCAGGTGCTGTACCAGTGGCTGTGCGCGGGGCCCAACTTCGACGAGGTATGATTGCGCGCTCCAAAAAAGTCTTTATTTTTGCTCTTTTGAGAGCCAGTCAATCGAGTGATTGGCTTTGCAGCTTCGAGCGGTGGGTTTCTCGAAGTCACCGTGTTAAGTCCGATGGTTCGGGTTCCTCTTGCTTGAAGAGCGGGGACTTTCGTTTTGGGAGTGTTGCCTTTCGGTAGAATCTCCCCAGCAGTCTACGAAGGCTGTCGTCTTTGCTTGCGATGCGCGCTACTCTGCCTAGTGCATGGCTGCATGCGGCATTGTCGGCAGAGCCTTCCAAGGCTTAAGGAACGCTCCTTGTATTCAGGACGTCAAGCAGCAAGCGTCTGTTGATCGGAGGCTTGCTGAGTTTCAACAGAACAGCCATACTGTCTAGGTTTCACTCTGCTAACCAACTTCGACTTTGACGCACAAGCTTGCAATCCTGAAAAGGAATTTTAGGGCTTCAGGGCGCAATTATGCACGACATCTGTGACTCACTTTGGAACCATGATTGTGGATACTCTTTCCGGCTGGCCTTAGTAATCAATAACAGCCCTTCAAGTTCGTTCCAGTACTGCTGGGACACTATTCATTGTGGAGACCTGTATTTGAGGACATGATTGTAACGACTTTCCTTTTTCCTATGCAGGTAACTCGGTGGTACCTTGGATGGAAGGGTCTTTTCCCGGCGGATCTGCTGGCGAATTCCCGGGTACAACGCCAGCTTAACGCGGCCCTCGACATGATGAACCAGGCAGTAGAGGGCGCTCCCGTCGTCCAACCGGGGGCCCGCGAAAACATGGCCTACCTAAAAGTCAGCGAAAACCGAAAGTTTGAGCAGCAACAGCACACAGCGCCTTCGGTCACCGGCGTTTCAAATGGCGGCCAACCGGTCTCTTCCACTGAAAGAGACACTGGGTACGATCATGGTTATGCTACCTTGACTTTGAAAGAGATTGTGGAGACCACGGCGCAGCAGAGCGACGTGCAATTTTTACCAAAGGTGGGCAGGCTGAACCAAGGGTTGCAAGTGTACGGGTTTGGGCTGGTTAGTGTTACGATTGACAATCATAACCAAATGCTCTATGCTCAAACAGGGGACAAATGGCTTCCCGTTTCTTTAGAGCAACTTATCGAACTAAATAGGACGCGAACACTAGAAAGGAGTCGATGAGGAAGCTGACCTCACACTTCAGCAAATGTGGTTAGTCTACCTGCTCAGGATCCCTCGCACAACTCCAGATAGGTCTTGAAGGCCTTTTCGGAAAAACGAATGCTTTTGCATGGCAACAGACTGCCCAACCCGACATGGACATCGCGTTGATGCATAGCTCAAGAGGATGGTAGCATCATGCAATTTCGGCTGTGCGGAATAAGGCTTCGCCAAGAACGTACACTCCGACTCGCTGATCAATTCAAAGCATAAAAGCATTGAAAGCTAGATTCTGCGCGCGCACATATCCGGCGCCCTTGGTACGTCACGTAGTACCGCGCCTGGTACCTACCGTGTGGTGACTCGTCGGACACCCCGGGCCCCGGCCGGCGGCCCGGGCGCGTGACCCGTTGCCATCATTGACGCGTGTGATCCGTCCGGCCGATCATCCGAGGCATCGGGCATGTTTTGGATGTGCGGCCGTCGCCGGGCGAGCCTGAACATGCGAACGCCGCGCCGCCCGGGGGCTACTGTACACCCGGGTCAATAAGTTTTGTAACGAGCATTATGCCACCATAAACCATGGTTAACCGCTAACCTCCTGCTGCAAATCGTATCCATGTAATCCTGGGTCCGAGTGGAGCATGTTTGGTGGGCAATCTTGCACCATCTCAAGCATCGGGCACAAACGGGGTCATGTTTGAGGGGCATGTTCAATTGTAAAAAAGAGCAAAAAAGGGGCAAATAAAGCACCATCCGTCAAGAGGGTGCACGCTAGCGGATACGGGCTTTTTGAGTGAAGTAAAGCTATTCTCTAGCCGGGGACCACCTATAGACCATATGTTGTGGGGTGAAGGGTACCCAACTCTCAAGCGGGGTGCATATTATGCGTGCGTGAAGATGGGGTTTTACGGAAAAAGGGGCGTTTTCCGGTGTTTTTTGAAAAATCGCAACAAATTTTCAGGGCCCGGTTATGTGAAGTGCCGAAACTTGACATGCGTAATCTCCATGACCTGTGCAACGTTTTTTGAGTCTGTACTAGTATCAAATTCAAGTTTGTTCGCCACCACGGACCCTCGGAAGGCCGATAGATATCCGCAAGCCTAGCGAGCCCTTTTCGTGGGTTGTGCATTTGATGCTCGGGAACTACATCAACCGGCGTTTGATTGACAATCCAACCACATTGAGCAGACCCTAGCAGTGTCTAGCCTGTGTAAAGATGAAAACGTGCATTTGGGAGCGAGTTTGGTTACAAAACTTATTGACCCGGGTGTAGTATCACTCCAGACTCCAGAGTCTAAACGCTCGATAGTCGACTCACGGCAAGACCGGTGACTGGTCAAGCCTGAAGGGCCCCCGGGGGCCGGCCTTGCGGCGGTCACGGTCTCAGTCATTTGCGCGCGGCTCCATATAAATAAAATTTAATACCTTTAAGGCAATGTGACCTATAAGGTACTGTACTGCATAAGAGGACTGTACGTTTAATGATTGCGCGGTCGTTACCCCGCGCTGCGCGGTGCGTACCCGAGAAGCAACCGGGCCTGCCCTCTGACATTAGGGTCTCGCAAGCAGCCGGATGACAACCGGGCACTTCCCAGTAACATTAGGGACTGTCGGTCACATTACCCTAGGTTTTCAGTGTTGCCCGGGGCCCGGGCTTTACATGTACAGTATTCCTCTACGGTTGAAGAAATTCCTTATACGGAACGTACCTTATAAGTGTTAAACTTTATGGTTATGCGGCTCCCGAGTCCAGTCCCCGTCGGTTACCACCCGGGTACTCCTGAGTCCTACCCTCCTACCGGTTGGTACTACGGTATTCTCTAGCCAGGTCCCGACTCCGTAGTAGGTACCT